ATAAGATCCGGTTACAACGAGATCAAAAGAAAAGAAAATTACAACTTTCCTTATTTGTCGAACGAATCGCGAGATCCTGTTTTGCGGTCTCTCGCTTTTGTGGGTTCTTCGCCTGCGCCGGGGTTAATCCGTGGACCACCACGCGATCTTGATCCGGTCGGATCTATACGGTATAGCGGGTGTTATCTCACGAAGGAAATAACAGCCGAGGGGATAATTTCACTAAGGAAATAATAGCCCGTAGTTATCGAAATCGACCAAGCGAAATCGAGACTCTTCTCGGGATCAAAGGCCAAGCTTTGATCCGGAGGGAAACCGTGTAGATCTCAGATCTGATCCCTCTCGAACTCCTGCCTTATTTGGCGTGGATGATCGCCAAGAACCAGATCTGGAAGTTGAGTCTTCAAAGCTCCGAAAGTTCAAGTCCAAATCTCAATCCGGCAGAGTTTCGGCTCCAAAATTCCAACCCTCTACAAATGAACCATGCCTCTCTATTTATAGGCACTCTTCACTGTGCCCTGGCACAGTGGCCGGGTGGCTCGGTTTTGGCCGAGCCACCTAGAGGTGGCTCGGTTTCAAGGCCGTGTCCTCTAGGTTTTCTGGTTTTGTGTCTGTTGTCCGGTTTCATGGTTTATCGGTTTATCCGAGTTTTATTGTTGATCTGGACCCTGATTTGGCAGTCTAGACCCCGATTTGGCAGTAAATCCGCTTCGGTGTTGTGGACTGACGCTCGTGTTTAGATACGTCACCCGATGGTTCGTTGATTTGTCGAATCACCGTGTCGAGCTGTGTTAAGGGACCCATAGGCAGTTTTATATGCCTACAATGAGGAAGGCCACCAAAAGAACAATGAAATTCGGCTTCAATTGCGCTAGCTAAACCCTTAGAGCCCTAAAAACCTGCAAAAGAAATGGGTGTAACGGCAAACAAAGATCATAGTCGAGGTGGTGCCAGCATATCGGCACCAAACCGCTGCTATGATGATATACGGATTGCTCCTTCGACAGAGCTAATAGTGTAAAGAGTGTTGGGGATGTCATAGTCTAGGGCATACTTCTCCAAGCAGCACGTGAGTACTTACGATTTATACTTCTACAACATATCAATTTTGAACTTATTGCGAGCAGTGGTGGGCTGTGCACTAGAAGCCATCAGAATAGATAAGAAGAGTAGTCAAAGAACAACAAATGCTTTTTGGAGGAAAAGAAGATGGACATTCATTAACAAAAATGGATGGTTGGCTAGGAGCAGATATATATAAGTGGAGGGGACCAGCATGTGGCACAAAACGAATGGCTGACATGATTTATGAGAAACTGCTAACGGTTTTGAAGACTGGAGTGACATCTCATCAAATGAAGCGCCACTTTGTCAAACTACTACATGATCTCCACTGAAGTCAGAAATATCATATCTCAATTGTCTTGTGATAAGGACGGTTCAAATCCACAACGCATGAGATGAGACGATTCATTTTCTCCCAAACTTAGCTTTCTGAGTTCGAGTGAAAAGGGTCCAATGTTATACTCTAGAAATTACCAAGAACCTAATAAAGCCTCAAAAAGCAGCCATGTGTTATAATTAGCTAGTCGAGTTACCTACATATTAAAGCACGACTCGGGTGCAGAGCCAACCGACCTATCTCGCAACCCAGATCTGAGATGAAAGGTGTATTCGACCTAGGATATAATAGAAGCCCAAATCTGAGACGAAAGACATTTCCCCACTGGACTCGACACTGTGCGTCTTGAACAGGGGAGCGACTTGTCAACCTCACATCACATTTAATGCATGGCCAGTCAATGCCAATACTTCATTGCCCAGTCGCCATCAACATTAATGCGGTGTCAGTCATTATGACCTCTCGAGCCAAAGACTTCAAAGCTCCTCGGACCATGTTAGTACCTCAGTGGCCTTACCACCCTTGCCAAAGCGACACCTCTAATCAGTTGCCGACACGTGTAAAGTATGGTCTAACCCATAACTGCGCAAACCCGATCAAATTACCAATGTGCCTCTTAACTCCTCTATAAATAATGGTAACTTTCACCATACTATGGTATGCCATTTTACACCCAAAAAGTTAACAAGACTACTTTCTGATTTTTTCTTCACATTAATCAATTTAGTCACTGACTTGAGCGTCGAAAGGCACGCCGGAGGAAGCAATATTCGGGGCCTCTAACTTCTATTATCCGTGTAGAAAATTGTAGCTCAAGACTTTTCACAGGAACGATCGGTCATCAAAGGAGATTAAGTGTCCCCAGAATTATACTTTTCTCTCCTAAACCACACATCAACTTTCTAACATAAACAAAACTCATTTTTCACTTCATCTTGTCCAGCGTCTTCCCCAGCGACTCTTTTCAGTCCTCATCCTAAATTTGCAATAGATAAATTCCCATTGGGAAAGATTTTAGAGAAGATGAATTGAAATATGGGTTTGAGTTGGGGTTTTATTAAACGGACTCGGTACATTTGGAGAATTTAACAGGTATAAGTTGAACTGTTTAATGGATTTGGGTTTGTGTGAAGGAGTTGTAACCAGCAAATCACTGAAAAAGTCAAAGTAAACAGAATATTCACCCCCACTTTACCTAGATTTTAACTTTCTTTTTTTTTAGGGATTTCAAAATAGTAAATATAATTTGAGGGGTCTAAGACCAATTTCAAAATTTGTGGAGCTAATATTGAAATAACCCTTTCTTTTTCGATCCGGATTCTCTACTCATGAATAGGGTTTCCTAATGTTTCCTAATAGATCCATCCCCTCCATCACCCTCCATCCATTCCAATGGGCCCCACATATGTAAAATGAAAGGCCAAGATTGAGTATTAGCAATTATTAGGATACTATTCATGAGTAGAGGATCCCAAATCCTTTCTTTTAACCCGTTGCCTCTCCTCATTTCCTTGTGCAGGTACTCCTTTCTTCCTTTGATGTCAATGTTTAAATAATCATAGTTTATTCTTCTTCTCAGATGTAGCATCATAATATTAGCGGAGTTATTGAAGAATTCTATCTTTATTTATTTACCATCTTCACTACTTGCACGTTATATGCTTGCTGTAATTCCCCTGAGAAACTATTTATTCCTAATGGGTTATTCATTAATATTATGGGGTTGCTGGGACCCTACTGGGTTATTTGATTTTTCTTTTTCTTGTATAGGGTTTTACCCCATTGGTAGTAATTTTGAATGTCTTAAGAGTTAATGCCAATTTTATCGCAGAGCTACATTATAGCAAGGGACTATACTGTACATCAATATTGTGCAATTGTTCTTCATAGCTTGTGAAAAATCCCCACGAGCTTACGACCTATATTTGTTCGTTTTGAATATTCTACTCATTAAATCGGCTGCTCTAATTTGCTTTACTGTCTTATAGGGGTGCCTTTTTTTTTCCTTCACATGAATTATTAGTAAGGATCATATTCATACGTAGAGGGTCATAGAGAGAAAGCAATTGTGCATTGTACTCCATCATATTGTATTCATGTCATGAATCGGGACAAGTTAAGATATAACAGACTTAAAACTTCACATCTGGAATAATGTGTGGAGAGGTAAGATTTTTACTTTTTGCAAAACTGTAAAAATGAGTTATTAATATTTCAGGGATACATATAATTCTTGTTTCTTTAATTTATCATGCCCAGGTTTTTGAGGGCACAAACATATCTATATCAAACTTCATCTGCTTTGCATAGACACACGAGGACATGCTTGGGTGTGTGCATGCGCGCGCGCACACACATTCAAGTCTCGTGTCGCCCTTTCCCCTATGATCTTTCTTTTAAATAAATGGCGATAATCTCATGTTTGTGTCCTGCATCAGTGTCCTTCTGAGCTGATTTATAGAAGGTTAATGCAGTGATTATCATATTTATTTTCCTTTTTAGGTACTTTGTATGTCTAGAAGGTGTCTTAAAGAAATTTCAATAAACAGATACGTGAATATCCTTCTCTTGTTTTTAGGGTCCAGTGTTTCCAACATGTCTATGCTTTAGCGTGATGTAGTATCCTTGTGTATGGACATTGCAGAGTTCTATCCTTTTGACATCTTGGTATCTTCTAGAAACTATGTCTCCACCTGTTTTATCCATCTTCCATACTTTGTTCATCATTGCTCCAGAACCTAGCTGCGGATAAGCCATCAGCTTGATCTTTAGTTTCATTTTAACTTTATTCTTGTCATTTTCTTGCAAAGTGTTTGCATACTGACGTTGATGATGATTATATCATGCCATATGGGCCAAACTGCTATCTTGTATCTATTGCCGCCCTCTGATAAGGAGCCTAAGCTTTGTTGTATGACATCCCTCATTACAAATATGTTGGATAAATACTAGCTATGATGGTATCAATGATCGTTGTCCTTGAGTCCTTGGTTAGAGTCATGATATAGATGCCACATGTGCATATTGATAAACAATCTTTGTATGAAAAATAGTTTAAGTAAACATGAGAATCATGTTTTGCAAGCACATGGATTTTTCTTGTTATCTTGATAGGTAGGCCTATACCTTCAGCTTTTCCTATTGACCTTGATTTTTAACTTTCAAATTTATACTACTAAAAACTTTTGTTAGAATATAAATATTACCCCGCAATCTTCGTCATAATTTCAAAATTTTGGTGGAGTGGAAGGGTTTTTAGGGCGGTATCGGAGCAGTCCATGTCAGAATTTCACAGGTAATGCATTTACTAAAAGCGGATTAAAAGAAAGACATTGTTGTCGAGTCTAAGTTTTGGCACTGTAAAATGGGGGAGAGGGCCTCGTGAGATAACCCTCAACCTTCACTATAACTTTATAGTTTTGTTACAATGCGCAAGAACTTTGAACAAACATGCTTCTTTCTGCTTTGCATATGCAGCTACATGATATTATGGCAAGCTTAGATCATTTCTTAGCCTACAGCCTTTCGAGCTTACGTACCTTCATCGGTTAATGAGCTCGCTGACTTTATATTTTCCTCTTCTCATCTGATCACTAGGAACAGAAAAACAATATACAGGAATAAGGGGGCAAATATACATAGTTTGGCCTCTGTACAAGTTATGAAGTTAGTATAGATTATTGACATACATATACTAACTTAGAATAGCATATGCTTGAAGAAATCAAATATAGCAACACTAATACATATATTCGACCAACCTTAGGTCCAAATACTCATTTAACATGTAAGTTACATCACACTCTCTTAATATAAGCTTAGTACTACATTCTCCGTGCGCACTTGCTTCTGCTTCATTCACCACGCTACCACCATTAGTCATTTCGCTATCATAGACCGTTCTATTTGCTTGGATCTTCTCCTTTCGCTCTAATTCAAAGCAATATGTCATTATTATTACAATTACTTCTACCCATAAATGAGAAAACATGAAGAGTGAGAATTGATAAAATTTGCTAACACCGTAACTAAAAACATACAACTGGTCTTACCTGTGAAGCTGTTAACTACAAGCTTGCATAATTCTTGCATGGATGAATCCTGATGTTTTGTGTCGAAGGGACTTTTTATATGGCATCACGGTCTCAAAAGCTTCAACGAGCAATGCTACCTTTTTCTTTCGAGCAGGATCCAATTTTGTTACTGCCCTTCGAAGCGCATAATCTATCAAGTATTCCTCCGAGTTCTTCCTTTCGTCCATCATCTGATGCCTGAGATCAACCTTTTCTGCTTCTGGATCAGGCTCTAAATCAAGAAACCGCGGAGCTCGTGGATTGAATTCTCTGATTTCATCTTGTTCATCAGTTATCTTCCTCCTCGTATAAGAATAGCTTTTGATATCAGAAGAAATGGTTGCATCTTTAGTAGCATCATCACATTTGGAGGTCGTCTCCGTCTGGCTTTGAATCTGCTCAGATAACAAGCTGGTGCTGTCAACTTCATTCTCATTCTTATTCTCCTCCTCTTTGATGTTTTCGTGGTTCAGTTTTAGATGAGGATGCGCTGCTTCACTAAATTCCTCAGATTCTTCAGAAACCAACTCCTCACCATTTTCTGTAGATTCTTGACTCAAAACATCAGCTCTGCATAATTCTTCTCCTTCACGAGACCCAGCATCATTGCCTTCCAAATTATCACCATTACGGATCATATCATCACAAATCTCGATAACCTTATGGGATACTTCTTGCGCAAATCCTGCGCCAACTTCATCAACGACAAACTCATCACCACCTGCTGATTCTTGATCCACTCCTTGTTGCTTCTCTATATCAGCTTCGGCTACTTCGTATGCAATATCTTTAACAGAGGACTCAATCTGAGGAGGCATTAGATCAAGACGATCATCAGGGCATTCAGAGCTCTTGGTGAGGTTGTCCGAACACGGATTATCTACTCTCCCTTCCCAATTGAAATCGAGAGTCGACTCCTCGTTTTCACTCTCTTTCGATACAAAGCCTGATTTTTCCTCATCCTCGGCATCATCCAGCCGTCGATCACGCTCCACATATTCCAGGGAACTCATCGCGACATCAACTTCTTCATCCGGGAGCTCACTTCTTTTATCCAAACCATCATCAACACTGGCGACCTCGCAGGTTTCTTTTATCTGATCTTGATCTTCTCCGTCTTCGCTTCTATCAGTATAAACTCCGACGAAGAAATCATCTATTTCCTCCGCTGCTGACGGAGCCACAGCCTTTTGCCCCGTATCTATCTCCCCCTTGTCCTTCCCTAAGCCCTTTCCTCTCCATGAAGAGAGCCCTTTCAGTTTCATGCTCTTCTGGGTCTTAATCAACTTCCTTCTTGCCTTGATAAAACTCCTCAAAGGAGGCAAAGGCTCATGCCTATGCCCATTCAAAGAACAGTAAGTATAAGGGCAGACCTTCATCACTGAGGTCCCCTCAGGATTAAGGTCTAAAGCTCGAGGAAAGTTTGAATCTTTCAGAGTTGACGAACAAGTCGCCCTGTTCACCAGCGGCCTTATTGCCTTCAAACTAGATTGCCTACTCAAGGACTTGGAAAGTTTAAGCCCCGGCGGAGGACAAGAAGGTGGTTTTGGCTTCAAAGGGTTCGGCCCGTTTGAGTTCTTGGGACTTGGTTCTACCTGCAACCGCTCCTTCCTTGCATCAGAACTGCTTGTAGGCTTCATATAGTTTGGTGATTGCTTCTTGGGCTTCATAGATTTGAGGCAATCAAGGTCCGCAGCTCTGATGGATCTCTCAAGCTTCATCTTCTTCTTGAGGTCACCTCCCCCTCCTCCTCCTCCTCCTCCTCCTCTGCTTCTCGTGTCTTGATGTTTTTGAGAAGATGTTTGCCTCTCAAGTTTGACATGGCTCCTCTTTGTTTCAGCTTGGGAGCTAATCTTTGTCGGGGCTTTCCTTTGAACCATGTTGGAAGCAAGGTTGAAGGAAGCAGAGTTTGGGGAGCTTGGGTTTGTAAATAAGTTGGAAAAGATTGGGGGTAAAGTCTTTATTGGCCAGGGGTAGAGAACAGAGGGAGAGCAAGCTAATGAAAACCCATATTCTACTAGTTTGCGAGGAAACAATAGTTGCAAGTTATTTGGTAAAGTTCACAAACCCCCCTGAAGATTTTACGGTTTGCGTAAAATATCCTCTGGACTATATAAATCATAGAAATTTTATGTAAACTTTCAAATGCAATCTCTTTACTTTTTACGGGCATTTAATAGATAAAGTAAAGGAGTACACCACCTATGTGTTGTCTACCTTCCTTATCCAAAGACGATAATAATAAGTTATATTTGTAGTTAGGGGCTGTTTGGTTGGCTTCCTAAAAATCAAAAAAAAGAAAAAGGTTACATGAAAATCAATAAAATATTATTTTCATCCATTTACATCTCTAAAACTCACCACAACATCTAATAAAATATTATTTTCATCACACAACTCATCTCATATCATCTCCTAAAAATAAACCAAACACAAGAATTGGGTCACATCATCCAACTCATCTCATCTCCATCACATCTCATCTTTAAAAATCGCTCACATCATCCAATAATATGGTGACAACTCATCTCATATTCTTTGATTTTCTTCTTCTTTTAGCCAACCAAACAATCTCAAAATAATTTTTCTTAGAAATAGATTCCTATTTTTTTATTTCCCTCTATTTTAAGCAAACAAACAGCCCCTTAGGCATAAAATTGCTCAAAACTTACCATGAGTGAGCGAAGCATGTGACGACTTAGAAGTACTTACAGTCAGTCATGACACTCTGAGTGAAACTAGTTCATGGGATTTTCTTTGATGTATAAAGTTTACGAGTATTTTGTGCAAAGCCTGTAAAGTTCAGGGTTTTTCGTGAAATTTAACCCCCAAGTGTTTGGTGATTCTTCTAGAGGCTTGTCAGAGGCCAGCCAATTTTGAATTGGGGAGTGGTAACAACTTTTTGCAGTGGATTAGGGGCTAATGGGGTTGAAAGCATGGATGATGTTTTTGAATTCATAAAGGTTTCTTTATTGGATGTGGCCTCGGAATGAATACCCACAGCACAGTTGGCTTCTTGTATTCAAATTCTTTTTTATTTTGGTGGGGCTGATGAGCGGATTGAGGTGATATTAAACAAAGCCAAGTGATGCGGCACTGCCTCTTTGATGATATTTATGTTGGTGGGTGTAAATGCTCTGATGCCTCAGTTACTTGCCGGGTAAATTTCTGAAAACCCTCACGAACTTTGGGGGGGTTTCTCGCAAAACCCCTTCGGAACTTCATAAATTCCACTAAACACTCATGAGCGCTATCTCACCAAACGCATCTAAACTTTCAAATTTTGCTTGTGAACCCCCTAATTGAGTCAGTGCGTCCAGTTTAACCAGAGCATGAAAGTTTATGGGGATCAATTCTGCAAGAGACGCGAAAGTTTATGGGTATTTAGCTGACTGATAAAGTTCATGAGGATTTCATGGGAAATCCGCAAGGTCAGGGAGGTTTGTGAAATTTACCCTTACTTCTTCCTCTGCGTTGTAGTGTTAAGTTCAGTCATTTTTATCTTTTCATCTTTTTTTTCTCAAACTTTGGAATTGATGATGAGCATGATTGCAGGAGATTTTGAACGTTTGTTAAGTGGTCTACAGGACAAGCGTCTAAATGCTTCGGTGCTACATTCCTTTTCACTCCCATTAAAATTGTGAAATTTTTTAAGGCTGCGTTTAGGAACTTTGATTTGGATTTGGGAAGTTAATTTGAATCAAGGGATTTTAAATTTAGGATTTGAAATCCATGATTTAAGAAATCTTTTGTTTAGATAGCTTTATTAAATGAAAGGATTTGAAATCTTTGATTTCAAAATCTAGTGTTTGGGTACTTTATTATACATGAATTTGAATTTAAAATTGATAAAAATTTATTCTCTTAACTCATCTTGTTTACATCAAATGCAATGGAGATGTGTAAAATAGTAACCAAAAAACACAAATTTAGGTAATTTTGACGATGGTAGCTACATTTGCTAAGTTTTCAAATTCATTGTCCACCATAACTTGCAAGAGTTTCAATAAAATAAAAATGAAGAAAACTCTACAAACATATCAAGTATCTTACAAAAAGAATCTAAATAATACATTATCATTGCATATTTCACAGATATCCAGGCTAGAAAACACTTGAGGCTTGTTTCATATTTCATACATATTTAAAGTGAGAATAAGTTGATATCAGAGCAAATAAGTAACAATTCCATTATCTTCTCAAATACAGGTACAACTGACAATTACATAGTCAATTTGGTCTTTGATATACCAAGAGAAATATTAATAAGAAAAAATATAAAGAGTTGCAAACTGAATAGCATGTGAGAAGAGAAGTATCCTTGATGTAAAGAAATTGCAACTGAGGATTCAGAAATGCTTGTATGATAAACCCTATCCGCAACAACAAAAGAGTAATTCATATGCCATCACGATATGAGCCCAAAACCTACAAAGAAAATGAGCAGATCAATAATTTGAAATAGGAACAAATGAAATTTTTAGTCTCATAAGCAGCTATCAGCTAATCCCACAACCTCTTAACTACTCAATTGCAGTTCATTGTAGAAACAACAACCCAAACATGATACTTTGCGAGGCCCCAGCAAATAGATAAAACACTTCATATATGACCGTACGTGTCTCGAACAAAAACAATCTCCAAAGGACATGACATTGAGGAGGAGCAAAAACTAGTTCAAGCTTTATCAAGGTGCCGTAAACCTCCCATTCAATCAAGATAATAGAAATGGAAGCATCAAGTTACCCTCAACCATCGGCATGTAAGCTAAACGCTAGTAGTACTTGCTCTCAAAATCAACCATCCGCATTCCGCCATCGGAACATCCTACAATCACTAATTTCTTATATTATCAACCTGAAACGTAGCTAAACTACTCAATTACAATCCAGTATAGAAACAACCAGGCAATAATGATAAGTTCCAACACTTGCAGGACAGAATAACACAACTCAAAATTCTACAAATATTAATCCAGAAGTCGAAATAAGCCCAATAGCAAACAGAATAAACAGCAATTCAAATATAACAGTTGCATATCCCAAACAAAAAAATAAAGTCTCCAAACCAAAGCACAATTTCTTTTAATTGAAGAATTTGTAGGAACACAAATAAGATAATTTTCATATATTAAGTAGTCAACTATAAACTGACGCATTGATCTATTTGTTCCCTTTACAATGTTGTTGCCCAAATAATAATAATAATCATAGCATGACAAAGGTAGTCCAGAATTCATACATATGTTGTAGACTTGGTTAACTTCACACATATATATTATCCTAGAAATATTTCATGGCAAAGTTAGTGAACATAATACATATACTATCCTATGGAAAGATATGGAAGATATGTCAAGGTTATTAGAGTACGAGTAAGAAATGCATTTAGAAATGCATCATAATCAAGTATACACTAAATAAAAAGAACAGAATTCTCAATAAAATGAAAATTTTGTACCTTTGAGATGAGACAAGCACTCCTTACTTGAATTAGCTAAGAATCCATCAAAATCACTAAACCCTAATGCATTCATAAGAAATCATCAAAAAATTAGAAATATTCGGTTAAAAATATTGTTCAAATAACATTGAGATGAAGAAAAGTAGTCCGACCTGAAAACTAGAAACTACTCCTTAAGAATAAAGAGAATAAAATCTCTTTTTTCATTATCAGGAAGTGACTTCAACAAATAAAACTTTTCCGGGTTGCTATCCATTATCTTCTTAAATGCATTGAACACTTGAATGCGACTTAAGTTGGGTGTTTTTGAGACCACTTGATGAATCTCCTCTCTGGTTGGTGGTTTTCTTACTACTTCCTTCTTTCTCTTATTACAATACTCACTCACAGAAGCTGCCATCATTGCAAGTGAATCAACCATTTTATCCCCCTTCTTTTGTTTCTTTGAGCTTATCTCACCACTAGTTGATGCTCTACGAAGATGTTTCCTTGAAGAGCTTCCACCTTCATTTGTTTCGGATTGTGCCTCAGATTCCTCATGTTGCATTGTATTAGCAGCCTCTTCAAAGGTTTCTGCACCTTCATCATTGGCTCTATCTTTTACACATAACATCATAATGTCATCCCAATTTTCAATCAAACGATTCTGGTAACATTTTGCATCTAGATTAGCCTACAATATAAGAACATTCACAAATATTTTTAGATATATGCAACAAACTAATAATTCAAATTAATAAGTATAAAGTGCGATATTACCGAAACATAGTCGCTCCATACTTTTTGCTCACTAGCGGGTATAATCACTCCCACCACGTCAAACCACTTTTATTTTTAATGTCATAGATAACATTATAATGCGTTTTCCAAATTTTGAGTCGATTCTTCACGTTATCTTTGTTCAAGTTGCTATTAAATGATTTTAGTGCATCAACCGCAACTTGATACACTTGAGGCTTCCAAGTACCATCGACTTTTAATCCTTAGTTCATTTGATCGTACAACACATTTGCTAAAGCTGAGTCCATATCACGATTCCACACAACATATGATCTCGACTGAGATGCAATTTGTTTCCCTTTCTTTGTCATCCTAATACATACCAAAGTGAATGACACAGAATTAGTAATAAATCACAAAGGTTGATTAATAATGAACCTTCGACATTGTAGAATGAAGGCACGAGAAAAAGGTGATGGCTACAAGTGTAAATAACTACTGCAAAGTCTGCAAGCAATGAACAAAACAATGTTACTCCAATATTCAAAGATCATAAAACATATCAAAGACATACAATTATTCATAACTGCTAACCAACTTTAGCATCAAATCTTATGGATGCTAGCCCCCTCTCAAAGTCGGTATTCATCCCACATTTGCATAGCTAAATCATCTCTAAAGTTACTCTATTCATTTGTAACTCTCACAGTGGTGATATGCTCATCATCTACATTCTCAATTTCTAAAACAGGATCATCTTCTAATTCTCGATCCACATCATTCAATAAGTCGTCTTCATTCATCTCTTCACGTAAAAAAATATGAAGAATA